CACAGTGGATGTGAGAAACATGAGGGGATGGTGGATGGTGGAACAGATCACAGTGGATGTGAGAAACATGAGAGGATGGTGGAACAGATCACAGTGGATGTGAGAAACATGAGAGGATGGTGGAACAGATCACAGTGGATGTGAGAAACATGAGAGGATGGTGGAACAGATCACAGTGGATGTGAGAAACATGAGGGGATGGTGGAACAGATCACAGTGGATGTGAGAAACATGAGGGGATGGTGGATGGTGGAACAGATCACAGTGGATGTGAGAAACATGAGGATGGTGGAACAGATCACAGTGGATGTGAGAAACATGAGAGGATGGCGGATGGTGGAACAGATCACAGTGGATGTGAGAAACATGAGAGGATGGTGGAACAGATCACAGTGGATGTGAGAAACATGAGAGGATGGCGGATGGTGGAACAGATCACAGTGGATGTGAGGAACATGAGAGGATGGTGGAACAGATCACAGTGGATGTGAGGAACATGAGAGGATGGCAGATGGTGGAACAGATCACAGTGGATGTGAGAAACATGAGGGGATGGTGGAACAGATCACAGTGGATGTGAGAAACATGAGAGGATGGCATATGGTGGAACAGATCACAGTGGATGTGAGAAACATGAGAGGATGGCGGATGGTGGAACAGATCACAGTGGATGTGAGAAACATGAGAGGATGGCGGATGGTGGAACAGATCACAGTGGATGTGAGAAACATGAGAGGATGGTGGAACAGATCACAGTGGATGTGAGAAACATGAGAGGATGGCGGATGGTGGAACAGATCACAGTGGATGTGAGAAACATGAGGGGATGGTGGAACAGATCACAGTGGATGTGAGAAACAAGAGAGGATGGCGGATGGTGGAACAGATCACAGTGGATGTGAGAAACATGAGAGGATGGCAGATGGTGGAACAGATCACAGTGGATGTGAGAAACATGAGAGGATGGCGGATGGTGGAACAGATCACAGTGGATGTGAGAAACAAGAGAGGATGGTGGAACAGATCACAGTGGATGTGAGAAACAAGAGAGGATGGTGGAACAGATCACAGTGGATGTGAGAAACATGAGAGGATGGTGGATGGTGGAACAGATCAGTGGATGTGAGAAACAAGAGAGGATGGTGGAACAGATCACAGTGGATGTGAGAAACAAGAGAGGATGGTGGAACAGATCACAGTGGATGTGAGAAACATGAGAGGATGGCGGATGGTGGAACAGATCACAGTGGATGTGAGAAACATGAGAGGATGGCGGATGGTGGAACAGATCACAGTGGATGTGAGAAACATGAGAGGATGGCGGATGGTGGAACAGATCACAGTGGATGTGAGAAACATAAGAGGATGGTGGAACAGATCACAGTGGATGTGAGAAACAAGAGAGGATGGCAGATGGTGGAACAGATCGGTGGATGTGAGAAACATGAGAGGATGGTGGATGGTGGAACAGATCAGTGGATGTGAGAAACATGAGAGGATGGTGGAACAGATCACAGTGGATGTGAGAAACATGAGAGGATGGTGGATGGTGGAACAGATCAGTGGATGTGAGAAACATGAGAGGATGGTGGATGGTGGAACAGATCAGTGGATGTGAGAAACATGAGAGGATGGCAGATGGTGGAACAGATCACAGTGGATGTGAGAAACATGAGAGGATGGTGGATGGTGGAACAGATCAGTGGATGTGAGAAACATGAGAGGATGGTGGATGGTGGAACAGATCACAGTGGATGTGCGAAACAAGAGAGGATGGTGGAACAGATCACAGTGGATGTGAGAAACATGAGAGGATGGTGGAACAGATCACAGTGGATGTGAGAAACAAGAGAGGATGGTGGAACAGATCACAGTGGATGTGAGAAACATGAGAGGATGGCGGATGGTGGAACAGATCACAGTGGATGTGAGAAACATGAGAGGATGGTGGAACAGATCACAGTGGATGTGAGAAACATGAGAGGATGGTGGAACAGATCACAGTGGATGTGAGAAACATGAGAGGATGGTGGAACAGATCACAGTGGATGTGAGAAACATGAGGGGATGGTGGAACAGATCACAGTGGATGTGAGAAACATGAGGGGATGGTGGATGGTGGAACAGATCACAGTGGATGTGAGAAACATGAGAGGATGGTGGAACAGATCACAGTGGATGTGAGAAACATGAGAGGATGGTGGAACAGATCACAGTGGATGTGAGAAACATGAGAGGATGGTGGAACAGATCACAGTGGATGTGAGAAACATGAGGGGATGGTGGAACAGATCACAGTGGATGTGAGAAACATGAGGGGATGGTGGATGGTGGAACAGATCACAGTGGATGTGAGAAACATGAGAGGATGGTGGAACAGATCACAGTGGATGTGAGAAACATGAGAGGATGGTGGAACAGATCACAGTGGATGTGAGAAACATGAGAGGATGGTGGAACAGATCACAGTGGATGTGAGAAACATGAGGGGATGGTGGAACAGATCACAGTGGATGTGAGAAACATGAGGGGATGGTGGATGGTGGAACAGATCACAGTGGATGTGAGAAACATGAGAGGATGGTGGAACAGATCACAGTGGATGTGAGAAACATGAGAGGATGGCGGATGGTGGAACAGATCACAGTGGATGTGAGAAACATGAGAGGATGGTGGAACAGATCACAGTGGATGTGAGAAACATGAGAGGATGGCGGATGGTGGAACAGATCACAGTGGATGTGAGGAACATGAGAGGATGGTGGAACAGATCACAGTGGATGTGAGGAACATGAGAGGATGGCAGATGGTGGAACAGATCACAGTGGATGTGAGAAACATGAGGGGATGGTGGAACAGATCACAGTGGATGTGAGAAACATGAGAGGATGGCAGATGGTGGAACAGATCACAGTGGATGTGAGAAACATGAGAGGATGGCGGATGGTGGAACAGATCACAGTGGATGTGAGAAACATGAGAGGATGGCGGATGGTGGAACAGATCACAGTGGATGTGAGAAACATGAGAGGATGGTGGAACAGATCACAGTGGATGTGAGAAACATGAGAGGATGGCGGATGGTGGAACAGATCACAGTGGATGTGAGAAACATGAGGGGATGGTGGAACAGATCACAGTGGATGTGAGAAACAAGAGAGGATGGTGGATGGTGGAACAGATCACAGTGGATGTGAGAAACATGAGAGGATGGCAGATGGTGGAACAGATCACAGTGGATGTGAGAAACATGAGAGGATGGCGGATGGTGGAACAGATCACAGTGGATGTGAGAAACAAGAGAGGATGGTGGAACAGATCACAGTGGATGTGAGAAACATGAGAGGATGGTGGATGGTGGAACAGATCAGTGGATGTGAGAAACAAGAGAGGATGGTGGAACAGATCACAGTGGATGTGAGAAACAAGAGAGGATGGTGGAACAGATCACAGTGGATGTGAGAAACATGAGAGGATGGCGGATGGTGGAACAGATCACAGTGGATGTGAGAAACATGAGAGGATGGCGGATGGTGGAACAGATCACAGTGGATGTGAGAAACATAAGAGGATGGTGGAACAGATCACAGTGGATGTGAGAAACAAGAGAGGATGGCAGATGGTGGAACAGATCGGTGGATGTGAGAAACATGAGAGGATGGTGGATGGTGGAACAGATCAGTGGATGTGAGAAACATGAGAGGATGGTGGAACAGATCACAGTGGATGTGAGAAACATGAGAGGATGGTGGATGGTGGAACAGATCAGTGGATGTGAGAAACATGAGAGGATGGTGGATGGTGGAACAGATCAGTGGATGTGAGAAACATGAGAGGATGGCAGATGGTGGAACAGATCACAGTGGATGTGAGAAACATGAGAGGATGGTGGATGGTGGAACAGATCAGTGGATGTGAGAAACATGAGAGGATGGTGGATGGTGGAACAGATCACAGTGGATGTGAGAAACATGAGAGGATGGTGGATGGTGGAACAGATCACAGTGGATGTGAGAAACAAGAGAGGATGGTGGAACAGATCACAGTGGATGTGAGAAACATGAGAGGATGGCGGATGGTGGAACAGATCACAGTGGATGTGAGAAACAAGAGAGGATGGTGGAACAGATCACAGTGGATGTGAGAAACATGAGAGGATGGCGGATGGTGGAACAGATCACAGTGGATGTGAGAAACATGAGAGGATGGCGGATGGTGGAACAGATCACAGTGGATGTGAGAAACAAGAGAGGATGGTGGAACAGATCACAGTGGATGTGAGAAACATGAGAGGATGGCGGATGGTGGAACAGATCACAGTGGATGTGAGAAACATGAGAGGATGGCGGATGGTGGAACAGATCACAGTGGATGTGAGAAACATGAGAGGATGGCGGATGGTGGAACAGATCACAGTGGATGTGAGAAACATAAGAGGATGGTGGAAAAGATCACAGTGGATGTGAGAAACATGAGAGGATGGTGGAACAGATCACAGTGGATGTGAGAAACAAGAGAGGATGGCGGATGGTGGAACAGATCGGTGGATGTGAGAAACATGAGAGGATGGCGGATGGTAGAACAGATCACAGTGGATGTGAGAAACATGAGAGGATGGTGGAACAGATCACAGTGGATGTGAGAAACATGAGAGGATGGCGGATGGTGGACAGATCACAGTGGATGTGAGAAACATGAGAGGATGGTGGAACAGATCACAGTGGATGTGAGAAACATGAGAGGATGGCGGATGGTGGACAGATCACAGTGGATGTGAGAAACATGAGAGGATGGTGGAACAGATCACAGTGGATGTGAGAAACATGAGAGGATGGTGGAACAGATCACAGTGGATGTGAGAAACAAGAGAGGATGGTGGAACAGATCACAGTGGATGTGAGAAACATGAGAGGATGGCGGATGGTGGACAGATCACAGTGGATGTGAGAAACATGAGAGGATGGCGGATGGTGGGACAGATAACAGTGGATGAGACTTAC